GGGGAATTCTGGGATTTGAAGTTCTGCTAACTTAAAAGCATGCTGGCTGGGGAATTCTGGGAGTTGAGGTCCACCTCTCGGAAAGTTGCCAAAAGTTGAGATACACGATTAAAGAGAAAATAAACCGCAATATCATCAAAGCATTGAAACTCTTCTGTTCTCGCTGTCGGGCTCAAGTTTTTATTTTAGAAACACACACCAGAAATGGGTGTGTTGCAGTGTGCGTGTGACAGGACTGCACACCCCACCAGCCATTACTTCCTGGGGGTGGGGGGATCAAAAGGAGCAAGCATCCCCTTTTGAACAATGGCAAGAAGCGAGCCATTGTTCTCGGCTTTGAATGCTCTGCGGGAAGCTTTTCTGAGCTGGGTAGAGATACAGACCCCCCTTAGCCATAAGCAACAATTAAAAAAAACACCCTCAAATGCAAGAGCCCTTGGGATCAGGAGCAGGAGGTAGGTTGCCTCTCTCCATGGAAGCTCCACCAATCTAACACATACCCATCCGGATTTATTTTAACAGAATAACAGAGTTGGAAGGGACCTTGGAGGTCTTCTAGTCCAACCCCTTTCTCAAGCAGGAGATTCTATATAAAAGATTGCATGCCTCTTTGCACTTTTCTTTCTTTTTGTTTCCTCCTTTCTTCCCTTTTCTATCTTTCCTTTTCCTTTCCTTTTCCTTCCTTCCCTTCTCTTTCTCTCTCTCTCTTTCTTCCCCTAAATCTTTGCAAAGACAATCCTTCTGTCTGGTGAAGTCGAGCTTCTTTACAAACCCTCGACTTCTCTTAGCCGAAATAATAATAATAATAATAAAAAAACATTCTTCCTTCTGGTTCTTCCACCTTAAACAGCCTGGACTCTTGTTAGCCAAAAACCTGCCCCTCCCTTCCCTTTCCCCTCTCTGCTTCGAGGCAGATAAACAACTTTTAGACAAACAAAAAAGGAACCTAAGCGTTTTTTGACTTCCCTTAAACATCTGGCCAGCTAATTCCTGTCTGATCTGGATCAACAAAACCCATTTTTTTTCAAAGCTTTGCACCACAGTTTTAATAAATTAGCATTGAGTTGACCAAAGCAATGGTTTTAAAAGAGAATTCTAAACCCTGGTTTATTTATTCAACTGGTCCAATTTTTTTAAGGTTTGGGCCACGCTCTGAAGCATCAAGAAACTTACACGTAGGTGGGAATTCGTGCAACAAGTGAGGTATACCTGGGGTGCCTTGATTTATGGGTCACGGGCTTGCAAATCTTCCTGATATACTTGCTCTGCCAAGGAACCCCACAAAATTTCCATTTAAGAAACATTGGAGTAAAGAAATGTCCAATGGTGTCACACCCACACCCACAAACACCAAACAATCCGTTCCCCAAATTTCAGAATAGAATAACAGAGTTGGAAGGGATCTTGGAGGTCATTTAGTCCAACCCCCCGCTCAGTAGGAAACCCTACACCATTTCAGACAAATGGCTGTGCGATCTCTTCCTGAAAACTTCCAGTCTTGGAGCATTTACAACTTCTGGAGGCAA